TACCTTAGCCAGTAGACCAGGCGGGTTCAACCTTGGCAACGTGGAGACTTGTGGACTTCAACTCCCAGAATTCCCCAGCCACCTATAGGAATTGTGGGAGTCGAAGTCCACAAGTCTTCACATTGCCAAGGTTGGGCACCCTTTCATTAGACCAGGGGTAGGCAACCTTGGCTCTTTTATGACTCGTGGACTTCAACTCCCAGAATTCCTNATATTTTGAGTATTCCACCATATCTTAATCCAAAATGCTTTAACTTCTCTACATGTCCACCAAATATGAAAATAAGATGCATCTAAATTGCCACATCTCCAACACTTAGGTTGTAAATTAGGGTACATACAAGACAATTTTTGAGGATCCAGATGCCACCTATAAAACATTTTATAAAAATTCTCCCTTAAATTTTGAGGCTTGAGTAAATTTTACATTTCTAACCCAAATTGTCTCCCATGTGTCCAATGAAATTGGTTCTTGTATATTTTGCGCCCATTTTATCATACAATCCTTAACCAATTCTGTTTACAGTGTTGTTTCTTAACCTTGACAACTTTAAGACGGGTGAACTTCAATTCCCAGCTGGCTGAGGAATCCAGGGAGCTGAAATCCACCCGTCTTAAAGTTGTCAAGCTTGAGAAACACTGATGGCTCTATCGTCTCTCTCTCTCTCTCCCTCTCTTCTACCTATCATCTATCTGTCTCTCTGTCTACCATTATCATCTCTTTTTTGTATACCACATCATCAATACAAAAACCACATTCCCAAACTTTTCTCAACAAAGCCAACCTGGGCCGGTTATACAACCAGCTGCGCCCGGACAGCACAAGGTCAACTTTCTCCGCCCTGCCTTGCAATGTCAGGCCACAAATGAAAACCTGATCTACGCACACCACACAAAAGCTGAGGATGATCCTGAGGCAGTGCAAACCACGAAGGAAGGAAGGAAGCAAAAGAGATGCTTTCATCCAATAAATCAGGGGTCCCCAACCCACGGTCTGTGGACCGGTACCGGGCCGCAGCACGCCAACAAACGGGCCGCACAAACAAGCAAAACCCCATCCGCGGGATGCAGGCAGCACACAAAAGCACGCATCCTCCGGTCCGCAGAAAAACCTCTCTCCACCGAACCGGTCCCTGGTGCCCAAAAGGCCGGAGACCTTTGCTCTAAAGGGGATTTCAGCTCCCTCCCCAGGCAGGGAAGGCAGCCCTGCTCAGGCCGAGAGAAAGAAGCCAGATTTCCCCTGGAGGAGCCTAAACCGAACGGTGGGCAGGGAGAGTCCTCCAGCAGGAGAACTCACCGTTGTGGAAATAATCAGAAACTGCCGTCACAGGGCTGCAATATTTAGCCTATGTGCAAACTGGGACCTGTTACCCGGGTCCAACACAGCCCCATTTTACAGCAAGAGGGGGAACATGCTAAAAAAAAAAAACCTGAGGTGACAGGTGGAAAAAAAAGACAGAAAATAAAATTACCAATTCACATTTTTCCTGTGGTTTCTCTCAGAGGTAGGCAACCTCGGCTCTTTTATGACTCATGGACTTCAACTCCCAGAATTCCTGAGTCAGCTATGCTGACTCAGGAATTCTGGGAGTTGAAGTCCATGAGTCATAAAAGAGCCGAGGTTGTCTACCCCGTCCTAGCTAAAGGAATGATATAACTTAACCTTTTGACTATTTTTCTGCTTGTTTTATAACTTGTGTGTTGCCCAGAGTCACCTTACAGGGAGATGGGCAGCATAAAAAAACCAATCAATCAATCAATCAATCATTGTAGAGGTCTTCCACTGGTGGCTAAGGAAGACAATTTCTTGAGGTTTCTGTAATTTTAGATATTTTTGCCAAAGGTCTGATCTTTGCCTTGTAATGGGGAGTGGAAGACAACCTGTCCGACGGAGGTGATCACACCTAAAAAATCTTTTACACACCCAGCTGTGTCGGTATCCTGATATTCTGGAGAACTGAGATCTGTGGGGTAGCTTTCAAAGGATAAAGACCCCGGGGGACAGTAATAGCCTGCCTCAGTTACCTGGAAGGACACATGGAAATAATTTCACTTGTTCTCCATTGTTCAAGAGCGGAGAACTTAAATTTCAAGATTTAAGCATCTACCGGGGATGTTTTCGTTTAAAATCCTGGGCTGACCAGGGTGCCCTAAACTTAAGGATTCTACTAATTGGTACCCAAGTTAATTTATTTATTTATTTGTATCCTCCCTTTTATATTTTTACAAACAACTCAGGGTGGCAAACATACCCAACACACCTTCCTCCTAATTTCCCCACAGCAACAACTCTGGGAGGTGGGCTGGGCTGACAAAGAGTTGGCTTTCATGCCTAAGGTGGGAGTTGAATTCGCCGTCTCCAGCTTTTGAGCCCCGTACCTTAGCCAGTAGACCAGGCGGGTTCAACCTGGGCAACGTGGAGACTTGTGGACTTCAACTCCCAGAAATCCCCAGCCACCTATAGGAATTGTGGGAGTCAAAGTCCACAAGTCTTCACGTTGCCAAGGTTGGGCACCCTTTCATTAGACCAGGGGTAGGCAACCTTGGCTCTTTTATGACTCGTGGACTTCAACTCCCAGAATTCCTGAGCCAGCCTGGCTCAGCTTGGAAACCTCTCCCTTTCCCCTCAGCATGGCTGGCTCAGGAATTCTGGGAGTTGAAGTCCACGTGTCATAAAAGAGCCAAGGTTGCCTACCCCTGCATTAGAGCAAGTCAAGGACTACACTTTTGACTCCCTCTCAAGTAGGAATTTCACTGACTAATTACCTGACTAATTAGTCAGGAATTATGTGACTAATTCAACTTAACAGTCAACAATCAAGTAGCCGAATACGAAATCTAGTACCTTTTTTAGCAGACATTGAGCAAGTATTCTGAAATTCTACCCATTTTCAGCTGAAGGGGTTGCTCCACAGCTTCTCAATAAGTTAGAGAAGTGGACCACAAACATTAGAGGGAAACGTCACAGAGACAAATGCAACGTAGACGACCGATTAAATGGAGGGGACTGTCCAGGAAAGACACTGGAATGGTGGACCTCGGCCGAGCCTCTGATCGGCATCAGCTGCTGAAGAAGAAGCAGCTTCCAAGTCTTGGGAACTAACTGCGCCCGTTGATTCTGTGTTGATGTTGGGTTTGTTAAACCGCATGAAAAAAAGCTGAACCTAATTCTGGACACCAAAGTTTGAGGGAGGTTAAGACTGAAGCATTCCCAGTTGCAATGTATGGCTGTGAAAGTTGGACCATAAGAAAGGCCGAGCGCCAAAGAATGGAGGCCTTTGAACTCTGGTGCTGGAGAAGACTCCTGCGAGTCCCCTGAACTGCAAGGCAATCCAACCGGTCAGTCCTAGAGGAGATCAACCCCGACTGCTTTTTAGAAGGCCAGATCCTGAAGTTCAAACTCAAGTACTTTGGCCACCTAATGAGAAGGAAGGACTCACTGGAGAAGAGCCCAATGCTGTGAAAGATGGAGGGCAATAGAAGAAGGGGGCGACAGAGAAGGATGTGGCTGGATGGAGTCACTGAAGCAGGAGGCGTGAGCTTCAATGGACTCCAGAAGATGGTAGAGGACAGGACGGCCTGGAGGAACGTTGTCCATGGGGTCGCGATGGGTCGGACATGACTTCGCAACAACAACAACAAAGACCGAAGCAGGTTCTGGAACCCTGACACCAGACTAGGACAAAAATCTGATGAAAAGAGCTGGTGGGAACCGAGTACGTGTAAAATGGAGATGACGATGACGATGGCCATGATCATGTCACTTGAAGGGTCCAACAAAGAATGACAGGTCTGACCACAACAGAGAACCCCTTGGAGCAGGCCAAGCATCTCTTGGGGAAACTTTCAGACATTGAGGTAGGGTCTCATCTCAGGGGTCCCATAACTCCCATTTTTGGGACTCAGTTGGAGCGTCCGTCCAAATTCAGAGTAGGGCTTCTTCATTGCATGAAAAGAGCAGGGCTCTTCATCTGGCTTTTCCAGGAAGCGCCACCCCTCCCTCCAGCACGGCGAAAGTTTGGGGATGGTGCCCCTCTGGTTTTGAAAGCCCCTCCCCCCTTAAACTCCTTGGCCCTGAAGGGGAAGGCGCGGGATGGAGGAATGGGAAGAGAAGGGAGCTGACCCACTCCGGGAGGGTTGAGGAAGGCTTGGGCCCCCCTTCCCCACAGCCGATGGGGCACATTCAGCATGCACGCCCATGTCGGCCTTAGAAACCGGTGGCACTGCATCATCGTGGCAGCTGGGACAAAGCCGGGTGTCTTTCATTAACAAAGATAGTTTAAATGAGAAAGGGCATCAGTCATTGCATCTCGGCTTCTTTCAGGCTTTCTCTCCTGCCCGATCCATCTGCGCTGCCAAGGGGTGACATAAGCCAGGCCCCTCTGCCTGGGACGCCCCACACGCAGACTGGCACAGCCTGCCTTCCCCACAAAGGCCTCCGCTGCTCCCATGGGAGTTTGCCAACCGCAGAGGCTGCCTATTCCCCACCCCAACGGCCAAGGTGTCCCTCCTGAACCACGGGTGGAGCGTTCCTTCACGAAGAGGCCCTTTCCGGAGGGTGCGTGCGCGAGGAACGCCAGTCCCGCCAGACCTACACCTTTCTCACCCGCGCCAACAGGAGGCAAAGCCTTATCCCCAAGCAACCTGGGCAGACAGAAGCCGAAGGGAGGAGGCCAACGGGCTCCTTCCGGCATCGTGGCAGAGCCCACCACCACTCAACGCATCCCGCCCGGGGTCACCGGCCCTGGCGCTCAGCAGGCCACCCACTTCTGCCGGCTTCCTTCTGCCCTTGGCACAAGAAAGCCAACCCAGAAACGGTGGCCACCAACTTGAGGGCTATTGAAGGGGAGGATGGCCGATAGGAAGAGGGGTCCCTGGCCTGGCGCCCCAGCCCTGCCCCACCACCTCCTCCTCCCTTCCTCCCTTCCTCCCCGAAGACCTGACGGTCTTTAGTCACACATCTTAAAAGAAGCACAAAATGGAGCAAGACAAAGGCCTACTTGTCTCAAGTCGATGAAGGCCAGCAGCAGCGTGTCCCCTTGGAACCCAGGCACCGGCCCGGATCTGGCAAACTCTGTGGGAAAGAAGAGGGGATGAAAAGCACTTTTAACTCACCATGGACAGGGAGATTGGCAGACGGATGACAGCGGAGACAACGGCGGTCGGGGGGGAGGAGCGCCCCACTTCTAAGGAGTCAGCTCCCCCTCCCCGCCCGCTTTTTGTTCACCCTTCAAAATTTGTGTCATCAAAACGCCATTAATTCCCCCGTCCTGACAGCGAGGAAACTGTACTAATTTGACCTGAAATTTATTCCCATGAGCCTCGCTGGGCTTTCGGAGTATTTGTTTTGTGAGCGGACAAACAATCTGCAAAGGAGAAAAGCATTTGGGAGATGGGAGGGAAATGGGGAGGGGGTCTCCGATGGAAAAAAACTTTTCCTTCCCCCCCCCCCCCGCGACACAATCAAATCTTCAGCTGTGTGAAATCCTTTTCAGTTCCGAAAGCTATTTATATTTGGGGGCACTGGAGGAATTTTCTAATTTCATGCCTGTCACCGTGATCCAGGCCCATTTGTCAAAAATAAATAAACCAAGCTGCTCCATTAATTATGCTGCCGCAGAGGAGCCTCTCCGGCAGATATGATATCCCTGGACAAAGAATGGAAAATGTGAAGAACTTCCCTCCTTGTGGAGAATATCAATTATTTTGAAGGGGGCCAGTTTAGCCACGGCGGTTGAGAAGAAGGAGCATGGAGGGAAGGTGGTCCCCGGGGAGAGGGAGGCTCGCCTCTCGGAGGCGGCTGCCTAAACCATCTGACCAGGGATAGCTGTTGAAAGCAGCCTTCTTCCCCATCCTGTGCTGAGTAGGAACTGCACAAGTTGTGGTCCAGCTGGGATCCATGGAACACGTTGGGGAAAGCTGGTTGGAACCAAGCAACCCAGAGGAGACGAAAGGTGGGACCCCAGGTCTTCCCGAACTGGATGCTGAAGGGAAGCATCATCTTCCTCCATCTTGTTTCAGCCAGTGGGATAAGCCAGAAGCGCTTTCTCCCGGAGCTGCTCCCCCCGTCGTCCCCCCCCCCCCCAGTTGGCAAACAGGCCATCAGGAAGGCTCTCGTTTTATTGTCCAAATGAGTGGCTGGCCGCATGATTTATTTAATATATATTTTAATTTGGTTTTTAGATATTTATTGTATAGCTCTGTTTTTACCTACCTGTAAGCCGCCCTGAGTCCCTCGGGAGAAGGGCGGGGTATAAATTAAAGTATTATTATTATTATTATTATTATTCTCCAGCATCATCAAGTCAAGAGGCTGAAGAAATACGCAAAGTCGGGTCAGGAGTTCCCTCGCCTTAAAAGACCCTGGTGGGCATCCTAGAGCAGGGCTTTTCAACCAGTGGTACGGGTCCCACCTGTGGTACATTGGCATCTGGCAGGTGGTACGCGGCCATCCTAGAAAAGTGGTAGCAGGGGAGGGGAATGAGCTGAACCGGTGGCAGCACTGCACAAGCCTGAGCGAGAGACGGCTGAAGCTGCAGGGCTGTCAGGGCTCAGCGGAAGCCCCAGGATCAGCGCCAGGATCCAGCTGGAGCTCAGCGCTGATCCTGGCTCTTCTGCTGAGCCCAGAAGAAGCACCGATCAGCTGGAATGTTGCAGCATCTCCAGGGTCTTGTGATTTACATTCAGATGCTTGGCAACCGATTCATACTTATGACGGTCAGAGTGTCCCAGGGTCATGTGAAGTGACCAAAACCTGCTGCAACCACCCAGCAGACAGGGGGGGGATAAAAACCAAACATCCCCCCCACCCCACCCCCGCTGCCAATCCTCAACAGAAATGCTCACAACAATGGAAACCTCGGACAGGAGGAAGAGCGCGGCCGGGCGGGCAGGCAGGTGTCTTGCTCGGCTGTGGCTTGGGGGACACTTTTTTCAGTGCCATTGTAACTTCGAACAGTCACTAAGCGAACTGTTGTAAGTCGAGGACTACCTGTACTTTATCACTTTTCTCCTTTTGGGGGGGGTCATCAAGTTTTTGACCCCTTGCTAGGCGACTGGTGGTCCTCGGATGTTGCCATATCCTAAAAGTGGTACAATGGGGGAAAAGGTTGAAAAGCCCTGTCCTAGAGGCCAAGCGGGCAAGGCAACTTCGTAAGAAAAGTCAACAGGACACGCCAGAGCAGAAGAAGAAGAATTCAGCTTCTTGCAGCCCCAAGGTCTAACCATGATGGTCCCTTCGTTGATGGAAGAGACGCTTGAAAAACCCACCTTGAATTGTTTAGCCACTCCCTGAAAACCAGCTATGAATTTTCCGTTATTGACATTTAAACTCCAGTCAACCTTTAACAGATGACTAATGTTCATTATTTGGCTGGGTAACCCTCTTCCTCCTAAACGAGCTTCAAGGGACGCTGGAGGCCCCGAGTTCAAGTCCCACATTAGGGCCAAAGGCAGCTGGGTTACCTTGGCCCAGACCCCTGCTCTCAGCCCTGGGAAGCAACCCCAGGATAGACCCCCAATTGCCGTGGCCACCCAGGAAATGTCTGTTTTGGCTTTAATGCCCAGTGTGAACATCTACATCAGGGGTAGTCAACCTTGGCTCTTTTATGACTCGTGGACTTCAACTCCCAGAATTCCTGAGCCAGCTAGAGCTGGCTCAGGAATTCTGGGAGTTGAAGTCCACGAGTCATAAAAGAGCCAAGGTTGACTACCCCTGATCTACATGGTCGCCAGGAGTATCAGCCAAACTACAGAATAACAGCGTTGGAAGAGGCCCTGGAGGTCTTCTGCTCCAGCCCCTGCTCAAGGATCTCATTCAGACAAGGGACTGTCCAGTCTCTTCTTAAAAAACCTCCAGGGATGGAGCACCCACAACGTCTGAAGGCAAATCGTTCCGCTGGTCGATCGTTCTCACTGTCGGGAAATCCCTCCTTAATTCTAAGCTGGATCTCTCTTTAAAAACCTTAAGAATCCTTAAAACTCTTTAGAAGGCCCGTCACAGCCAGATGTGCTGAGCGCTGCTGATCCTAAATCACCTCTTGGCTGAACTTCCCCTGGACGACTCTTTGGCTGGTGTCTTTATGACTTTCCCTGCAGCTTAATTGGGGGGGGCTCTTCTTCGGGGACCCCAGCTGCACTCTCAGGACCGTAACCGGAGGGAAGTTCCTTGACCGTGGCAGGCAAAAACGACGTTACCATCCATCCATCCATCCATCCCCGGATCGTCCTTAACGGTCTAATGACCGAATAATGAAGACGTTGCCCAAACGTCCCAGAGGTGCTTTTTCAAAGCTTCTTTCTTGGATTTTTTTTCTTAAAAACATTTCGCTTCTCGTCCAAGAAACTCCTTCACTTCTTCTTCAGTGAAGAAGCTTCTTGGATGAGAAATGAAACGTTGTCAAGGAAAAAAAAACAGGAAAGGCCGGTTGCCTTTTGGAAAAAGCACCTTTGGCACAAGCGGGACCCTGGATGGCCGAGAATCTCCACAGATGGGTTGTCCAAAATTTGAACGTGGAGAATGACCCAGAGCAAGAAGGCTGCTTCACGGTACTTAGCCCCGTAACTGGAATAGCTCCAGCTAAGCCACAAAGTCCACCAGGTCTGGTGACCTTCCAGGCCACAGTTTGGAAGGGTGATCAGAAACTAGATCCCCTTCCCAGTTCCAGGATTGCCTATCCTCCTCTTCCTCCTCCTTCTTCCTCTCCTTCCCTTCCTCTCTTCTTCTCCCTTGTCCCCTCCTCCTCCTCTTTTGTCATATGCCTGTTCTTATTATATTGTTTCTTTTCCATTTAGTGTCTTGTGAGCCTCCCAGCCTCACATGGCACCAAATGGAACAGAATAAATAAAAATACGATCCCATCTCCTCCTCCTCCTAGAAAAACCATACAATTTATCTTAAGCAGGTCCATCCAGATTTATGCAATTAATTTATTTATATACTGATGTAATCTCCATGGACTCCTGGCAGTTTACATCAGCGAAAACAATAATAAACAAAATTAAAACTCTGGAAATACCAAACATTCATCAGACGAGGAACAGATGGAACCACTCAGCACCCCCCCCCCAAATGGCTTCGGGCACGACCCCGTTTTTACGAGGGTCCAAAGGGCCTTCAGGTGGGCACCAGCCCAGCCTCGGAGGCAGCAGCCCCAAAAGGCCAGGTAAGACGGGCGCCTGCCTCTGCCGCCCTCGTTTCCTCACCGTGGGAACCTGGGCGCCTGGATCCTACCCGGGGAAGGCCTTCTGCACGTCCTCAGGCGTCAGGCCATACAGGGCTGAGAGGGGTTAAAACTAGCTATCCCCAGTTTTCCCTTATGAAAGAGCTTGATGTAGACACCTCATTAAAAAAAAGTGAAATACTGGAAAGTAGATGAGCAATTATGAAAAGGCTCCACGGTCAACAAGGCTTCTGTTCAAGAGATCAAGCACCGAATTCCCTTTCAATTCACTTTTGTGGAGATTCTGAGATTTGAGGCCTTAAGATCGTTTAGACCCCCTTTTTTATGACTTTGTACTTCTGATTTTGTTCCCTCGACCTCCGAAGTGGTAAAAGAGGGAGGAGAAGGAGGAGGAGAAGAGTTGAGTAGCACAGATAATCTTTCATGGGTGTGGAAGAAGAGTCTGTTGCGTTTCCTCTACCTTGACATGGTCTAGACCAGAGGTAGGCAACCGTGGCTCTTTTATGACTGGTGGATTCAACTCCCAGAATTCCTGAGCCAGCCATGCTGAGGGGAAAGGGAGAGGTTTCCAAGGTGAGTCATGCTGGCTCAGGAATTCTGGGAGTTGAAGTCCACCAGTCATGAAGGGGCCATAGTTCCCCCATGCTGGCTCAGGAATTCTGGGAGTTGAAGTCCACGAGTCATGAAGGGGCCATAGTTCCCCCATGCTGGCTCAGGAATTCTGGGAGTTGAAGTCCACGAGTCATGAAGGGGCCATAGTTCCCCCATGCTGGCTCAGGAATTCTGGGAGTTGAAGCAGACATTGGCTACCTCTTCAGACCCCCCTGGCCTTTTCAGGGGGTCCAAGGCTTCCCTTTCCCCTTGAGGGCAAACCACGCCGATTTTATTTATTTATTTATTTATTTATTATTTTAATTTCTATACCGCCCTTCTCCCGCAGGACTCAGGGCGGTGCACAGCATATTAAAACAGATACACATATCAATAAAAATAAAAACCCCTCTAAAACCAAATTAAAACCAAATATT